ATTTTAGGACAACTGCAGTCTAGATTCAGAAGTGGAATAGATATCCATAAATGTTTTTAATCTTTCTCATTCACAGTTTCGATTTGAAACAGATAAGCAGCAGTTAGTGATGTAATTAGCCCATGTCTGCGGGGAAAACCTTTATGAATGAGTAGAAGTAGGGTACCTATGCGACGTTCAGCGATGTTCAAGTATATTTTTTCTTCTAGCCATTTCTAGCTCAGTTATAGTCCAGAAAAATAACTAATTTTTCTCGGATAGGTTCAAGCTATTTCATTCTAAAAGATGCAACGAACAACCTATCTGGGGACAGATTCCTGTAACATTTTTCCAAAACTTTTTTCGATTTCTCAGCAATCAGGTCACTGCATTCTGTTACTTCAAGATTGAAAATCAGACTGATTCCACCTATCGCCCCGACTTCTCGCTCTTGCGTGACTGCTGCGCTTTTAAACGTTTGATGGCCCAGTGTCTTCAAGCGATCAACCACGTTCTTTTTCAGGTTCTTTCTGTCCGTTTGCTCCCTACTTTGTTTAAAATCCTCTACCACGTCCTCTTGATTTTTTTTTTTTTTTGAGTTAGCAGCATTTTGGTGACCCTTAGCTCTTATGAGCTTTCCCACTATCTTTAGATAAGAGTTTACGCACGGTTATTTTGCAATTTTAATACAAATGACTGTTAATTTGCAACTGTTGTGTCTCGTATGCTGGAACGGCTAATCAATTGTTCTTGTTCCTCAGCTAATCGTATGAGTGACGACTGTAAACAGAGAGCTTGATATTTTAACAATACGGTGGTAGCATTTGGAATAATTAAACGCTTCAGCGGAGTCACTAGAGCTTGGCTTTCACGTCTTCAAATAGACTGCAGAATTATAGCTCTAATAATACAGGTAAACAGTTAAACAGGGGCAGCTACACTGCTTTGTTTGTTCTTCCGGGTTTGGTTTTGCGATGGAACTTCGACATCAATTGTTCGTGGCACATTAAGACGGGACTGTTAATGACCTGTTTTGAGTAAAACATTTTTTCAGCTGGAGGGCTGTTTGCCCAAGACGGAAATTGTAGTAGAGTTATTATCATACGCATTTCAGTCAATCTCTACTCACTTTTTGTAGCAAGGAATGCGTCGCTTAAGCGTATTGGGTAGGAACAGCTCTGATCCCTTTATCTCGCTAGTCAACAAGGCATTGAGGGTGTGTAAAAACTTTTTATAGATAGGAATGTTCAGTATTCAGATCCACTTTTTCATAAAACTTGGAACTTCGCCAGTTTATATGGCGGGAAGAGACTTGAATTTTGGGCATTAGTGATATAATCAGTCATCTACTGCCTTCGCTAGGAAGTTAGTTTTTTTAAGAGGGAGACCAGTGTTAACCTCTGTTCTCTACATGACTAACCGTCAGGAGTTTGCACTTGTAGTGGAAGTTTTAGATGTGTGGGATCCGTTCTCACCTCTGATGTTAAAAGCAACTTGAAAAATCTTGCAGGCTGAGTCTTTGAATTTGAGTTCCTTCTTGCTGTTCCCCATTAATTATAGATTTTTTTGGTTTTACACGTGCATTGTTGATTAGTAATACCTGCTAGCGTAAACAGTGCACCGAGTTAAGATTAAAAGGGTTTAGCATTTTGTTCATAAGTTTTTTTTTTTTTTGAATCTTGAAATGCATTAATATTTTTAGACGGGGAGAAGGGGAAAGTGGAGAAGTGTTTGGAACGAATTTACAGGTGCTCTATGATTGGAAACAGAAATTTGGAGTATTCGCTTACTTAAAAACTAATTATTTTTTAGTCGTATTTTTGTATGTTCTCTCGTATATTTTTTTTCGCTCTTGTCCGTGTTTTACAGCTTAAATTTGTACCCTTTCATGGAAGACAATGATTTACAAATGGGAGAATCGGCACTTTTCTTTCCCCGAGTAACCAGAAGATGTTAAACCAGTTCAGACATTTTAGGTTTTCTCAGTAGTTGTACTGTTAGGTTGGTGCGGTAATGCTTAAGTAGCCCTAGCCCAAATAAGGTAGGAAAGAATAAAACCCGCTAGAAATCAAACAAAGACAGTTGAGAGTAGCAGCGAACACACCGCACTACGTTGTCATTAACAGGTTGTAAAACGTTTAAATGGAAGAAACGTTACACAAAAATAGGCGCACATTGAACGCAGTTATTTGAACATCTGTTTAGAAAAACTGAAAAATTTGTTGAAAAAAAAATTTATGTTGTGGATTCGATACGATGAAGTGAAACAGCTCAAATGCAAAAAATTTTTTTTCTTGGTATGCTTAAATGAAACCCATTTGATAAACCGCTGAAAAAAAAAAAAAAAAAAAAAAAAAAAAAAAAAAA